AAAAATAATAAAGCTCTCAGTGATGGGGAGTTCGTTAAACAATGTATGCTCTAAGTTTGTGATGTTTTATATCCAGACAAGAAAAATAATTTTGAGACTGTAAGCTGATCTCGAAAAACGGTGACTTCTAGAATCGAAGACATCGATAAAAATTTGACATCACAATTAGTCAAGGACTGACCGGTTTAAATTTTGCTCCATAGCTATGGATGAAAGCACTGATATAAATGACACTGTTCAATTACTATTATTTATAAGAGGTGTTGATGAGAACTTTGAAATTACAGAGGATTGGCGTACATGCGTTTTTTAAAGGGAACTACAACGAGATGTGATACTTTTCGTTAATTTCAGGAAAGCTTTTAACTTAGAAAGTGCCTATAACAAATACATGTAATATTACGACCGATGAAGCACCAAATATGACAGGGAAAAAAAATCTGGATTTCTTGGACTCTAATCAAAACTATCCCGAGAACAATGTTGTTTTTCTACATTGTGTTATACATCAAGATGCTCTGTGTAAATCTGCAATGAATATGAAACCCGTGCTTGATGCAGACGTGAAGCTTCTAAACACTATTTGATCTCGTGGGCTTACTTACTCACAGGCAATTTCGAGATTTTCTTCAGTCCGTGCAATGTTAGTAATTTGATGTACTGTATTATACGAAAGTAAGGTGGCTTAGTACAAGATGTGTTTTCGAGCGACTTTGGCAGCTGAAGGGCAGGGGGGGGGGGGGGGGGGGTGGGGGGGGGGGGGGGGGGGGGGGGGGGGGGGGGGGGGTGGGGGGGTTGGGGGGGGGCGCTGAAAGACGACATTGCGTCGTTCTTCCATGAGAAACGGTGTTCTGCGGAGCGCGAAATGTTAGAAGATATAGAATGGCTTTCTGACTTTACATTTTTTACAGATCACCTTTGACATATGAGCAACTTGAATGTCAAGATGCAAGGGAAAAGTCAATTTATCGACGATATCTGGGCCCATCTCAAAGCTTTTAAACTAAATCTGTTTGCTGTGCAACTAGCTAAGAACGACTTGTCTCTTTTCCCGATATTAAATTCAATACTCTCAATAAATGAAGATGGCTTGAAAAAACTGCATTTTAAGTACGAATGCGTATTTCAAGATTTCAGTACCATTCAAACAGAATTGGATATTTTTACCATGCCTTTCAACGTAAATTGTGAATCAGTAAGGTCATATTTGTAGCTTGAATTAACTGAGTTGCAATCTAATAATCATTTCAAACAGTTGTTTCTAAATATGGCCAAAGTTAGAGTTTTACGAATCATTATTGAAAGTAAGTTTCCCAAATTTAACATCTCACACCCAAAAAATAAGTGCTATGTTCGCTTCATCTTATATATGTGAACAAATGTTTTCAACTATGAACCTTAGAAAGAATTATTTCAGAAGTACATTGACAGATGAGCATGTAGCCTCGTTCCTTAGAATCAATACATCTCACTTCGATCATCAAAAATGAAATCGCAATTTCATTCATCTCATTAACATATTTAAATTGTAATACTTGTATATAGTTTTTAAAATTTTAGAAAAATTTATCTTGGCCCGCCAAACTTTTTTTTTCGCTTTTTGGCCCGCGACCGAAAACGTTTGCCCATCACTGAATTATGATTATCAACAGGAGTGTGAGAGGGCAATCCTTTTTAAACTAAACTTGTTTGGTTTTTCTAGCTAACACAACGTAATGTTGAACACCATTCACTTCTAAGTACTGTGTAATTTCTACGTGAACATCAGGGTCAATTGCGAAAATTTTAAGAAATTCACCTCCTATTCTGGTTGCAAAAATATCATTAACCTCAACTTTAAGTTTCATAACAAATTCGTTAAATTCCATCTGTGGCCGCATAATTCCATTCGTTAAATTCCATCATAATTAGTTTAATTGCACGTGCTCTTGGAATACCCATAGTAACAATTTTTTACATCATTATTTACCAATATTCTCAACAGTAATATTTATATCATCTGTCGTCAACCCTTAGAACTTCACGAACATATATATTTTATATACATATATAATTTTATATTTAGCGGACCACTAATATGAATTTTTTAAAAAAAAGTTTAAAAAATTTTTTTAAACATTTATACAGTAATAATCACAAACTACACATACTTCGTTCACATTGAAAAATTGCACGGAAAGTACAAATATCGTACCATCTTGTACAGAAACCTTCACATTTCCATATCACTGAAAAGGAACTTCACGAAAAGCAAGAACAAACCGGCAAACGCAAAGCAATATCAATAAACTGACAGTGTTATGCGGCCAATCTTTAAGTATTGTAAACATAATAATCATCGCTTACTTAGTAATGGCGCCATTGATCAAAAGTTAGACAAAACAAAAAGAAACACTTCCAGTAATGCAATTATAAACAAGAATGCAGATGGTTCTCATAAAAATCCATCATCACCCATTTAGTGACACGGAGAAAAACTGTGTTATTGACCACAAATAGCATATGTGTGTAATTCAAAAGGAAAGATAATTCCAGTTAGCGCTGTTATTGATAACAGCAGCATATCCATGGATGCCAACTCTCACTTTCAAATGTCACTAGATACACCTGCAAAAGTAGTAGCTAAAATTTTAAAAGAAGTATAATCCATATTCCGTACTAGGTTTTGTTACTCGTCATTTTTTAAACTGAATCTTCATAAAAATATAAATAATGTCAGTGCCATTCAAACAGAATTGGATATTTTGTAATATCTTTTATAATTTTACCTGGCTTTTATAATTTATTCAAAAAAGAATCTTCATCAAAATATAAATAATGTCCCAATTTTTCTGTGGATCATCAAAAGGTTTCACAGACCACCGGTTGGCGACCCCTGGTTCATATAAGCATTATTCAAAAAAGAAAATTAATTTCCAGGATTAATATCACTGTTGTTTTTTTAAATTCTAGCACTGCATACAGTTTTTCATGGGAAGCCAAATCCATCACCGATCAACATCACATGAACCATGCTTTTTGCCAGAATTAGTGCTACATCCGAATTTTTACTAGAACTAGCAACGTTCTGAATTTTACTCCTATTATCAACATCAGAATTTCAACACTATTAACAACATAAGAATTTTCCTTAGAACCAACAGCACTAGAATTTTTACGATAAACCCCATCCTGCAAGATTATTAAGACATGAATCTGCAGTAGACTTATTATGCGCCCGAAAAATTTCACACTTATCTTGCAATATTTTGATCTATCTTGCATGGCAAGATTGCAAACCCAATACTGCTTGATGCTCGCTCGCATCCTTTTGAGAGTTTTCTTTAGAAAGATATCGCAAACATTCCAAAAATAATTGATATGGTCTTGCAAATTACTCGAAAGTTTAGCGCCATTTGTAAATTGCTCTTGCCCATAATGATCCTTATTAAAAAAATCTGTCACAAATTGATCCATTGCAGCTGGAGTATAATCAATATCACAATCCAAGACATCCGAAATATAATTAATGTCTTCATAATCACAATCCAAATTCCACATTCGACACCATAACAAATAATAAATAGCTTGAAAGTAAACCTCAAAGCCTAAAACAGTTCGAAATACTTGGCCATACAAGCATACGCATGGTTGCTGGAGAGCTCACACACACATTGTCATCATCCATGTCTGCAATTAATGACACATTTTTAAGGAACAGCAACAAAACAACCTTTATTATTCTCTTAATCAAGGATCGTACTAAATAACATATTTTTAAAAATTTATGCAACTGATAATTATAGATTAAATGCTTTTTTTCTTTGATCTTTCATTTAAATAATGTCTGAACTTGACAAAGAGAGTCTTGAGATCATTGTTCAAGAAAATTACATTTAATTGAACATAACTTTTTAAAAAATATTCATAAAATTCAGTTTCGAAGGCAACACTCCATTCTAAGTTTGTAGAAGTAAGTAAGAGAAATGTAGGTCAAAACTTTCGCTTACTTCGTTTAGTACATGATTTAAATACAGATTTTAAAAAGTCCTTGGTGACATAGTGAGCAGGTTTAAGGAAATGGAGTTCTTCAATCCAAATATTTCCATTAGATTTTAATTTCACAGTTAAAGAAGTTTCTTTTTGTGAAAACTACAAGCTCTTCAGCATCTATTAGCTTGGGATATTTCAGATCTCTTTGTTGCTGATGAAGCTGTTCAAGCCAAGTCTTCAGAATGGTTTTTGAAGCACACTCTTCCCATAGAAATGTCGAAAGATTCTTTAATGGAATCTCTTCAGAATTCCTAATAAATTATGCAACCTTTTCAGATTATAAATTAATCATGGGTATTAATCTTTAAAACTGCATATTTGTAAAATGACATGGTACATGCGATTTCTCAAATCTTGAAATTCCACATTTGAAAGAGTGACCACCAAGGTACTTTCACTATGGGAATGTCAACAACTGAAACAATCTGCCATCAAATTTTTAGGATTTTCACAGTTTTTAAAAGTTTGATGTGCTCGACTTTTGGATCATCTCATATATAGAATATGCTGAATTAAGCATTGCTAAAATGCAGACCACAAAGAAATTAATACAAATATTATATTCTATTACTCTTTTGAAATTTAAATAATATCCACTATACCTATCTAATAAAACTAAATCTATAATTTAGAAAATTCAAAAAGGGGAAAACAAACAGCTACTAATTTAAATGCTTCTGTATAAAATTATTGTTAGGTTTTATTTTTGATGGAAACAACAAAGTGATATGGGTAATATAGAACTGGACAGAAATTAACGGAAGTACTTAATATACTTGGCAATAAAAATACCCTTTTTAATTATATTAATATATACGGTAATAAAATTCATTGCAATGCTTTTAATTACATGTTGTTTTTAAACAATTGACTTAATTTCATACTTAAAAGAAAAGAAGATAAAATAAAGCACCGAACATGACAAAACGGCTCAATACTGAATTGAAATATAAAAGTAAACAGACAAATCTCTTTGCTAAAAAATTTATTTTTGCATTTTTAAACTAAGCTACAACTATTTTAACTGTAATATGAAGATAGTACAATAAACACATAGAAGATAATTATGAAAAGTTTCTTCCATTTTACAAGTTTATCTAGAAGCAACAAATATTAACATCCAAAGCCAATATAAACAGAATTAAAAAAGAAAATGCAGCTTCATTTCAATGAGTATATATGAGAGAAAAATATATATAAATTATAGACTTCATATTTTATTTTCACTTTTTCTGTTTCAAAAGTCATAGTCAAATATTTACTAAATTCTAAAATTTTAGTTTTATTACAAAGCTGCCAACCCTGAAATTTGAAACACTGGGGGAGAGGGTTCTCAAGCCCCAACCCAAGAGTTTTTGAAGAGAATTTCATTCTGTGTGGTAATGATATTTCAAAAAACCTCCAAACTGACTTAAAATGAAATTTAAGTTTGCATAATTCAGGTTACTGAACTATCTAATATGAACTAAACTAATATGATTCTGATGTACAATAATGTTTAATTATATATTCTAAAATTCATATAGTTTGGCTCATTTCATTTTTTAAATTTCTTACACTTTTATACCGAGAACATCCTGAATAACAAAGGGAAGCTTTTACTACTAAAGCAATTTTAAATACGTCAAAAATAAAATTATTAGTACATATTGTCATGTGGATAAATTTCTTAATACAATACAAAATCAGAGATCCAGAATGGATGGGACTTCAGTTGTTCTAGATTTTAAAACGTCATTTTAAATCTATTAAGACGACATAAAAATATGGCAGTATCGGGGCTTCTGTTGTCGTTTACATCAGATAGAAAAATGCAAACATTCCCACAGGGTGGTGCAAAAAAGGAAGCACAAATTTTAGAATTTAGGAGAGGATTGGGGCAGCAGTAAAATTTAGGGATGACAAAAAATTTAGGGAGTTTTAAAAGTTTAAAAAATTTAGCAAAATATTGGGTAGCAAAATTAAGGACCTACAGCAATTACAATTGAGTATGGCCAGCAATATGTAAAATACATAACGCTGGCCATAATCAATGGTTGAAAGTGTGATCCTGGCCAATATTAATCAATGTATTGTGATTTGTCATGGAGTATGTATTGTTATTGGACTCCCCAGCCAGGAGTGTTAGAAAATTATATGCAGGAATTTCAATTAGTTAGGATAAAAGCCACATTTTTAACACACCTGCTTTTGTGTGTTGAGTATCATATTCTTTCCTTTTTTATGCTGGGAAAAACATACCTAAATAAAGCTAAAAATTAAAAACCTGGAAATGTGATAAAAGACCGCTAATCATCCTGTAAAACCGGTAGAGTTGGCTGCTATGTAACAAGACCAGAATTCCATAAATAGCAGACATCAGACTAAAGAAGAATACAATCTTTCAAAAGAAATATCTGAAATCAGCAGAATTAAGAAATCAAACATATAAATATTTTTAAAGTGATTAACTGAGCATTTAGGAACAAAATTATATTTCTGAATACTTTACCGAATAAAACATTGAAATTTACAATGGAGGAATATGGAATGTTTTCAACAGGTTTAGATGAATCCATGCTTATTTGAAATTTGTGTACTATAAGATGTATTCTGAATTTCCTACAATCAGCAATACAAAATACCCCTCCTAAAGAGGCAGTAATAACAATATGATGAACATACATATTTTTTGGGCCAACAATATAGTGCTCTAGCGTGACATTTGTTTTGAGTGACAAAACATCAGTCACATGTATTTCAGTGATTACAAATAAACAATATAAAAATTTACATCAATTATTAAATGCTTAGAATTATTTACTTTTCCAAAAGTACTAATGCATGCTACTGCACAAAAATATTGTTAAGTTTCAGAATATATGTTACACTAAAAGCATAAATTTTTAAGAAACACGTTAACATTCTTAATATCAAATACATAAGAGCACTTTAGTTTGTATATGAGGACAAATTTATGAATAAGGTGAATGTGAAATATTTTCTAGAAAGGAGATGAAAAATGGCATTTAATTTTGCATCTCAGTTTAAATGCAATATAACATAGGCCAATTACTCCTGAATATTTAAGTATACCTCATACAGAGGTTCATAAGCAAAAATTAAATTTACGTATATCTGATATAAAGGTACACATAAAAATTGAAATTTATTATTTTCAGTTAAAATGTATATTATACTTAATTTACAACTTCAAAAAACTTTTTATAAAAATTTACCACAGGTATTGATATGCAATTTACTATTCAAAATAGTCTGCATTTAAAAAACTAAATGCTATCGATGCATTTAAATATTCATTTGCCAAGCCTGCCTCTAACTAGAAAAAATATAGCAAAGTGACAGCTATTCATTCAAAAACTTTGTATTCTAAAGGAATGATAACCCCTCCAAAAAATTTTTTTTTCCATTATGCAATATAAAAGGTACAGAGTTTTTATTTCTCTCATGTTACATTAATATATTATCTCTATTCTTAATTGAAACTTTGTTACCACAGAAATTTTTTTTTACTTAAAATGACCTTCATTAGTTTCATTTTACTGCAGAGCAATTCTTTCATAATTTTACTTTTCATATAAGAAAACAGCAATTTAGAATATTTTCACAATATTTTTAGAAATATATTAAAAATCTGAAATTTACAGTATTTAGGGGATAGGAAATTAAAATATCGAATATAGATACGACTTAATATAATTAGAATCATTGATTTTTTGTACATTATTATTATATTATATGAAAATTGAATAATTTTACATAGTTTTTACAAGAAATGATATATAATTGCAATAAGCAGAATAAAATAGTCTTAAATATAAATATCCATTTAAAAATATTTTCTTTTTCGTTCACTATTATATACTTTCAGAGCAATCAATATATAGTATAAATATTTCATAATATTCACTCCAATAATTCATTAATATGAGTAAAATCCTTAAATTTATTTTTCCTGTATCAATTCCTGCTTAAAAAAATGAACTATCTGGGAAAACTAGGGAAAGGCACTTTTATTATTAGTACTTATAAAAGATACATGCAACTATAAAGCATGCATTACAGAAATATGGTAAATTCTAAAACTTCAAAAAAAAAAAAAAAAAAAAAAGCATGTCAGCCACAATCCATTCGTATTTATTCACAAATTCAAAAGTTCCATGCAAATAAATGTATTACATGTTATATAAATGCATATAAATTTGCTTTGTAATAAACATATACAAAAAGATCTTTTACACAGAATTATTAAATTCTCTCTTAGCTTTAAATCTATACTATTATAAAGAGGGATAATATTCTAAGATATGTATTTCAGTATATAAAGTGTTGGTTGCTGGATTGAAAGACAAAAAATGGGAAAATTCATAATGCATTTGAAGTCCAAGAAATTCATCATTTATATTCATGCATTTTGCAGTTTAACCATACATTTACATTATAGAAATGTTACTTAACAATGGAAGATAATCTCTTTAAAAAATGAATTAGTACAATTATTTTATACATGTTAATTCTCAAAAATAGACACAAATCCTTTCAAAGAACAAATACAATATATGTATATATATTATGCTGAAAAGTAAATATGAAGTACACAAAAGGTCCATATACATTTTTCAAGCTTTTAGAACAAAGCTGTTTACAAATAAGCATAGCATGATATGTTATTTAAACTGTGACTTAGAAAGCTAAAATCATTTTGAATAACAGATGCTGCAGAACTACATTTCCAAAAGGAAAGATCAATAAAGACAACTTCTTTACTTTCATTTTCTTCACACCAGACCTGCCAATATCCAACTCTATACTTATGAAGTTAAGATCAAGTCACACCTCGCTAGAACTATTCATTTAATGAAACAGTTTACTATCTGCATTATGTAGCGGAATAAAAATTAAAAATCATCATTTATTAGAATTTTAAAAAAATCCCAAAGAAAATGCATGACATTTTAATACTTACTGTAAAACACCAATAAACTAAACACCATCTAATACCCAAGTAGTTAAATAAGATGTGGAAATTTTTTTAAAATTAAATGCAAGTCATATAGCAACAGAAAAATACTGCTAATTAAAATTTATTAGCAAAAAATTTTTAAACAGTATTATTTTAAAATTTCCTACTGTGCATTAAATCAGACCCTGAGAACTAATTTCAATAATAAAGTTAAGTATTACACATTTTATTACATAAAGTGATTTTTTGACATATAGACTATGAAATGTTGAGAACAGTTCTATAAACTCTGAGAATTTATAATAATTTAAAAACAATTTGAGCAAAGAAAAAAAAAAGCAGTCCATTTACAGCTAATACACATTGTAGTTCTGTTAGAACAAAAATGATCAAATATACATATATTTATCTATATTCATATTTAGACACAATAAACACAAAAGTTTGTACAAAATATGAGGTTGGTGAACTTTAAATATTTAATTACACCTTATATTTAGCACATGCATTTGCAATCTTTCATGATAAATTCATAAATAAAAATCATTTAACAAATAAAATTAACAATTAAAATAGACATCAATGCCAAATGTTACAAAGGACAAGGAGCTGCTGTCCCATTTTTATATTATGCTTCAGTCAATATATCATCTGTAAAAAAAATTAAATATGAAGACAATAACAACCTCTATAAGAGCATATTAGAAATAATTTATATAAAGACAGAAATTATTATATCTTATTTTTAGTCACTTTTTTATTAGAGTAAAATATATAAAGACACTTCATTAAATATAACATTAAAGAATGAAAAATACATAAAATTAATTATTCAGCTTATTTAAAAAATACCTTTTCAAAACAATTTAAAACACAAGTAATGCAGCTAAAACATTTTTCACAGTATGATTTCTTCCAAAATTAATTTTCTTATTAAGATTTTATTCAGAACCTCAATTTTGCATAAGAAATCTACTGTTATGATCACTTTAATATCAAATATTAACCATGAATTGTAATAAAATAGTGAAAAACATTCTTAAATATACTAACACACAAAATTAAGGTTAGAAATACATGTAAGGAAATTTTCTACAAAGATGCCCAATGAGACATTTGAACATTTTGCTAAATGTTTTGTGGTATCCAAATGAAACCAAATATGACCAAAACATGACACCTCATATTTCTAGATTGATCCAACTAATAAGGCATGTGTTTACTTTGCAAAGTTTTACATGTATCACAATGGGAACTACACAGTAAATGAAGTTGCTGGTCACAACTTGGGACAGCTAATCCAATTCTTTTAACAGCAAGAATTTGAATGTCTGGAAGATTTTCGGAGGATGATATCATTCAATGGCTCTTTTTTGTGCATTCCTAGTATGCTTTATAGGAATTATGGTTTTGCTGGCCATACAATGTGATGAATACCATCTTCCTCCAGGAAATTGTTGAACAACTGAGTTCTGTTAATTGAACAACTGAGTTGGCTTTGCATTGTTGTTCATAAAAACGAAGTCCTCTCAGACAGCTCCCTCTAAAAGGCTCCATCATTTTTATAGCATTGTATGGTTTATACTGCTTGCACTGAATATGTGCAGTGGTGTGTGATCATTTAATTTGATGCCTCACCCACGCGAGGATTGCATTTCCTTCAGAGTTATCAGTGCCCCTTATGTTTAGACGGATGATAGTTGGCCCAGGGTCTCTCCAGATAAAGACTTATAAACCACTCTGTGATTCATACACAGAGTGGTTTATAAGTCTGAGACACAGAGTGGTTTATAAGGTTTATATGTTTGGAGAATTGGCTGCACAATCTATCTGTCAAATATTTTCACTTAAGATATATTTAATCACCAGTTAAGTCCTATTCAACAAGTATTGTTATCCATAATAAATAACTAAAGCCAAACTGTGCCTCTGAAAAGTAATAATGCTCAGAGACTCCATACCTCTGTCTGATCAGGAAACCCCTTTCAAATGTATGGAGTGCTGTGAGGCTGTCTAATATGATGCCTTTACAACATGCCCCTCTGGCACCATAATGGGTCACTGTGCCTGATGTTGGAGGAATAGAATAGATTGCCACTTTTCTCTAAATGAAGGTCTATCAAGACTCGGTAAAATATCTAAATCTGGACTCATCGCTGAAGAGAACTTGGACTCATTGAATTTAGGTCCAGGGTCAATATTCTCTGCACCATGAGAGATACACTCTTTTATATGAGGAAATCAACAGGATGCAAACTAGCTGGTCTTCTGGGTTAAAAAAAAAAAAAAAAAAAAAAAAAAAAAAAAAGAGCTTTGAAGCCATCATGAAGAGTTTGGAAATAATAGCCTTTAAAAACAGTGACAGATGGGAGCTCATGAAAGAGCTATGTAATCCTTTGGCCCTTAGTTGAAGGTGCCCAATACCAATCTTCATTGGACATTGAGGCATTAGGATCTTCACATGCCTTCTTCATATGGATCTGGTCTCCTGAAATTAATTCCTTAAATTGTAAAGGGCACTGAACTTACATTAAGCTCTTTTAGAATCTGAAATTGGGACTGCCCAGCTTTTAAATACACTAATGAATCTTACCTCATTTGGTCACCTAAATGCAGATTGTTACTCATTTTACTGCAATATTTATAAAATTTAACAAATTTTCAAGGCAAACACTACTTAATTCTAATATGTGCAAATGAACCTAAAGCAAAACAACAAACAACTGCTCATTACAACACTACCTACATGTGTGAATATAATTATACTATTACAAAATGTTCAGCTGCAGTAAGATAGCTTCCCCTCAAAGTGGATTTAGGGTTGCCAGAAAATGGCAAGGGAAGGCAGGCCCAAAATTGCCCATTTGGTGACAAAATTGGCAATGTGCCATAGACGGATGGAGAACTTTAGAGAACAAATTCTTACTGGTTAGGCCCAGAATGTTCTCGAAGGCAGCCCAATTGCTATATAAACCCTGCTGGTATGCGGAGTAGAGTAGTGTCTCGTAGTCTATCGAGTCGATCGCGAGGCCATCAAGTAGTGTCAGCACAAGTTGTAGCGTGGAGAGACTCGAGAGTACGTTGAGTTCCGAGAACAACCGAACAGAGTCGGGAGCTCTACTCCAGTGCTTTGCCGTGAAGCTGTCTTCACTGTTATAACCTAACAGCCTGAAAGCTGTGCTGCTGATTGTTTCAGTGTGTTTGTCGTAGTTTTTTGACGACTGTAAACATGTTTTTGGAGCTGTCCTAAATAATACTGGCTAATAAATTGTGTGTTCATTCCTCATCAAATGTTGTCGTTAATTAGTCCAAATCCACATACCTGTACAAAAACGCAACAATACACCCAACAACACTGTTATTGAATTCTTATTTGGCCACATAATTTCCAGCATTTTTTTGAAAATCTTGAAAATTTATATTTCTTTTCTTAGTTCTGAATAACAGCACAATATTTATTTATACAAGATATCTATTTATTTATGTTTCCCAAAAGAATGCCCAATGAATGCAGCAAAATGCAGAATTTTCAGGGCAGCTTGAGCATATTTTCCTGGAGTATTTTATTTTCATTACTGACAATATAACTTTTCCATTTGCCTCCCCCCCCCAACTTTTAGTAATGGAATTAGCATAAAGGAATTTGATATTTTCAGTAGTTTTCAGTAGTAGGAGAAGTTTACACAAATCAAAGTATTAAATTCTTCTCCAGAATTTTACCAAAACATTAGGAAATAAAATTCAGAAATGCATTAATCCACCTCACTTTCAAATAATTCTTTTGGATTTAGAAAAATTCTATGTATAATATTAAATCCATTTTATTTTAAACCAAGCTTTTATCCTTTTATAGCAATCACACAGTTCTCTCTGAAAGAAAATTTAACTTGTAAATAATGTCATGCAAATGCCAAAAATCATTACTGCTGCCATCTAATGGTCCAGCTATCATGCATAAAATAAACTAATTCTTGCATAAAATATTTTGAATGTACCTATGCAGTTCTTGGATATTATTATTCAGAGTTATAAAAACATACGTATGTACATCTCTGGTGCATAAGTGATAAATGACTCTTAGATTTAAAGAAAAACTATCAGCCATTAACTGCTTAAAATATAACACTAAGTAATTCCAAATTGATTTATTTCAGAAAGTCTTCCACAAGGGCATTCTTCATTTGGACAAATAATTTTTAGAGTTCAGATCTGGACAAGAGGTTCTGAATGACAGTGATGCTAGTGTAATATTTATGACAATTCCTCTCACTATTGCATTTGTTCCACAGATGTCATCCTAAGCTTAGCTACCTCCACAATGATTGTGAACATCTGCTGCAAATTCTGGTAACAATATCGTTGGGCCACATCACTGCTTTAATCACCATGCACGGTAATTTAATGGTATGACCTGCTTACTTATCTGAAAGTGATATGATCTTTGTTCAATTCATTCAGTTGGTTGTACCACCAATGAATGGATATCTTTTTATGGTATTTATATTCATAATTCGAAATAGCATTTAAACACAAGTTAAATAGGAGCTTCTACAAATAACCCATTTGCTTAGGAGCTGGAATGAATGGCTCGATTAAATTTCCTTTCTTTTATTGCTTTCAGCAGGTTTGCTGTACATTTAAGAACTGATACCCAGCTCATAAAGCATGCTGGTCATCTGGCAAAGCTCCGATTCTGCTCATTTAAATGTGGTTTTAACATGTGAACAGAGAATATTTTATTTTAACATCTTTCTAACTGAACATGCCTTTTAATTCTTCAACAGTGGAAATAATAGATCATAAGCAATCCGAACTGACATAGCAACCAGTATTCTATTTCATATGTGTTTGGGATACAAGCTTCCTATGCATTTTAGAACCACTCTGTATGCTCATTGGCTAGCATGAACATTTCAAGACTGTCAAATGATTTTACTAAAAAGGTGCATTTTTTGACACAGTGTGATTGTTTGTGACCATGAGTATTTTTGACCCACAATAGTGTTTGTGAATGTGCGTATATGTGTACCTTTAAGATAAAATACTAACTTTATAATAAGTTTTTAAGTCTCTTTTTTTTAATTGGCTGTTTCCTGTTTCTATCTCAGAAATAGTAGTATGCTTAAAATAAATCTTTTTCAAGTGTGCCATTTCAAATAAAACCTTGTCATATGATTTTTTTTAAATGCTACTTATGCTTATAACTTACATAATCAAAAAAGTGAAATAGAAGTCATTTTTCGCAGAGTAACAATAAATTCTCAAAATAAAGTTTTAAATCAACCAAAAGAAATTACATAAAACTATAACTCTTTTTAATCTAGTGTCAATATCCTAATCTTTGAATTTTTTTACACTTGTTTCTACCAAACAAATATGCTGTCTGCCATCCCTCCTTTGAGCAATGCTTTAATATGCAAAACCTGTGCTTATATTATTGTATTTTATACTACAAATGAAAAACAAAATATAATAATGTCAAATGGCTGTGACTTCACATTAACTGAAAAATTTGTCAAGCTTCACCTATGACAAAGGCTCATTTTCATTATATGCACCCACATACCTGCATATGCACACACAAACACACATATAAACTAAATATTTTTTAATTCCACCCTGTACAGTAAATATTGTAGCCTGTTTTCTTTTTCACCTTTGTGTGCATCTATTAGAGAAACTCAAGAGAACAAAAAATTAAGTTTTGGATATTGGAATTCTTTTTTGTCAGCTCTATTCCTTTTTTAAAACTAATTTAGCTGAGCATATTTCTTTTTAAGCTATTAAGGGGTAATTAATTTGAAGGAGAAAAGTACTGCTAAGTTATTTATCATAGGCAATAATCAACGACATTACTAAATAACTGCAATACTTTCTCAATTCTCAAATGCACTTTAGCTCTATATAAACATCTCTAAATACAGGATGCCTCCCAGAAGCAAAATTTCATATTTTATCTCACTTTGTACTTGATCCATGACAATTTTTTTTCCTGCTTTAGAAAATACTGCATCATTGAAAATTTCAGAGGCTTAGGTGATGACATTAAGAGATAATCAGGCTAGACACTACCAAAACATATGACACTAAATGCGAAGTAATCTCTGATTTTGAATATCATCATCAACTTGAAAGAATGGGATTCTAAATTGATAAAACTAGTAACACTACTCAAATTCTGTAATAATAAAACATTTGTTATATATGTTTTAGCCTTTTGTTTAATATACTTAATTGCTTCAAAAAGATTACCTTGTTAGTGGTACTGAACACATATGTATGCATTTTAACAACAGATAGCACCTTAGAAATAGAAAAAAAAAAAAAAAAATGTGAAGTACAGAAAAAATTTACCTCTAGTATGTTGGATAGCTTGGACCAGTTGCAGATGGGGTATTTTGATCTGAACTAGGTGATGTAGTCCTTTCCCCTTGGGCAATCTCACCACCTCGCCATGCTTTAAACTTCAAATAGGTATCAAAGCCAAATATGAACATGTTCCCAAATCCAAAAAACTAAATAAAAAAAAAAATCAGTCTAAATTAAGAACATAATGAAGAACAAAGTAACTTTTTTCAAGCATTACAGAAAAACAGCTTGCATATTCATATTTTGACATCCCATGAAACACATTATAATATAACTATCAACTATTTGAATTGCAAAACTAATACAATAATATAAATTTCAAACCAGTCCCAAATCCAGATGCCTAATATCCCGACCTCCAAATCACCAGCAGCAATTTTTTAAAAATATTTTTCTAAAAAAAAGTTTTTTTTTTTTTTCAGAAATTTTTTGAAAAGGCAGAAAGAATTATGATTCCAATGGTCACCAGCAGCAATTTTTTTAAAAATATTTTTCTAAAAAAAAGTTTTCTTTTTTCAGAAATTTTTTGAAAAGGCAGAAAGAATTATATTCCAATGGTAGTATATGCTTCATGCATGCATGGTAGACACTTGTTTATAATAAAACATGAAGAGGGTACTTATTTTTAATTCCACTTCGGTATCACATAAAACATCTTCATGTTGAAGAAACACAATCATTTATTAGCATAAATCTGTATAATGAATAATTTGACTACATTGCCATCTTATTGCTCGGCATACATCTCAAACCAATATTCTATCAAAGTTTATCGCTGATTTTACTCCTACTGAATATCATATAAAATCTTATGCCAACCTGGCGAATAATTTTTTATTATTTTTTGCTTTCAGCACTACATGGATATCAACTTGCAGCAGCTTGAAAAATAACTCACATAGCAATATTTACAACAATTTATGTTTTATATATCAATAAATGACTATCAAACAGCATGGCAACCATTTATGTTGATATTATGTTTAGTGATGATTACAAGTTTAAGTCAACTGCATTGTGAAGTGTTAAGTTCATTGACGAAGAAATTTAACAGAAATTTCTAAAAATAGATTTTGTAAATGATATCCATATGCCATTTAGTGCTGTTCAAACTAAGAAGTGGTTTATTATTAATAAGCCTTACGGGTATTTTTTTTTTTGCTATGCACCATATTTTGCATATGGCAAGTGATGTTCTATAAGACATCACCTGACATGGGGTGTGCAACTGCTATCTATAAGCTATTATTTGCCAAAATTCATGGCATGCACAATGGAAAGTACCACTTTATGTACGTAGGGAAGTCATTTCATCAGGACTTGGGTAAGGCTTAAGCATATGAGGGAAACAGATGTAAATATAATAAATAACAATATAATTCAGGCTTAATTTCCTCAGAGTTCAATAGAAGAAAGATAAATTTTAGTGGAACAACGTTTCTTTAGTCATTAATAGTATACAGCAGATGCTCACTATGCTTTACGATAACCGCCAATTTGTAGGTTTTCAGATATCGCAAACAAAAAGCAAAATTTCTCAATTAATGGAATTTATGGAGAAGTGGTAATAAATAAAGAATGCAATAACATGTTTTCCAATGCAATAACAATGAATGACAGTTTCCATTGCAACAATGAATGGATGGCGAAATCTGTGGCAAGGTTCCAAATCCAAAAATTTCACTAGAGATAGTGAAGAAATAAACAGTGATTGATGAAAGGAAAAAAAAAAAAAAAAAACTGACAATTTACTGAGAACTCTCGACATGGTAATTACAGGACTTTGTAACTGAACAAGAAATTATGCCTATCTGTAAAATCAAAGAAAAAGTATTAACTTAAAAGAAATGTTTAATAAAGCAAACCAATATTCAGTAATTTTTTGTTACAAATTCTGATTCCCTCAAGAATGCTTAGATCATAAATGCTTCATTTTTCATAAACAATTTCAGATTTTTAATTTTACAGTTTCTACATGTCATCTTACTAGATTTAAATTGATGATCTAAAATCCAAAAAATTCCCAAATCTGGAATCGTCAAAGTCCTGACGAGTCTGGATTTTAAACTTTGTACTGCATACATGCAATAAATTCTATAAATAACTTGAGATGTTTTACTGCATATATGGAGTGCTGATTCATTGTATTAACCTGTCAAAAGCCAGCAACAACATAGATGCATAATGAAGAAGAAAAACTTGCAAACATGGCAAAACAAAACAAAACATGGCAAACAAAGCAAAACTTATTACTAAGAACTCTTGAGATACATATTCTCAACCACATATCATTTTGGGTGCAATAAGATCTCCACAATTTTGCATAGCGATTCACATCTTTAGACAGTGGACAAAATAGAGTGGTGAATTGCATATGCTAGCAGAATAAAAGGAAAGTGAGAAAGTAAGTGCACATTCATGAAAATACGAGATATATAATCAAAAGTTTTTGATTTTGAGGAAGAAATACTCGCAATGGTAAGTTTACATAAGATGGCATGAAACTGATTAAATTTTAAGATGTCATAATTTAGATTCACATATTATAAACAATTAGTAATTTTAGCTCAGGAAGAGGACAGAGCCAAATTAAAATGAAGAATTAAGATTACTGTTAAATTTAATAATTTGTTTTCATAATTTATCTCTTACATATCCCCCCTTCAAAGATAAAAAGGCTTGGTGACAAAAAATATTTTTAGAAAAAAGCAATAGAAAATGAAGATTATTTCTATACAATATATACAATACAGTCAAAAGTCTTTAATTCGGACGTCCATAATCTGGAATGATCTATAATCTGAACCTCAAAGCTACAAACTTTCTGCGCATGCATAAACGCATAATGCGTTTTCACATGCGTATATCTGTTTACGCATGCACATAATACGTTTATGCATGCGCGTTTAATGTATAACAGACTGTATAAGCTAAGCTAAAATTATCTAATTATCTATTTCAGTTAATATTGCAGATTGCGTTGTTCCTTAATCTTCGAATTGGATCCGGCTTATTTTTTGCAGACTGTTAGAGCAATTTTATAAAAGTAAGCTTGAACTTTTCGATTATGTCAAAAACAATTTCCGATTTTGGAGCTGCCAAAGGATCTAAAAAGCGAAAGCATGTTTCGATGTCCATCAAACAAAAAGTGGAATTGCTGCAAAAAATGGTTAAAGGCATATCCTTTGTTTCATTAACCATTCTGAAATCTGTTTATCAATTTCACACTGCTCTGCCGGGGGGGGGGGAGTACGTCGCAGCGCGCAATGAACTGGAAGTTGATCTGTCAGCACTATCCTTATCTTCAGGGCAGATGTTTTTATTTTATTCGGCTTACATCCTTACTAAATGTAGTATTTCATCTCGATGTACTCCGTCTTTGATATGATTTAAATCAAATTGTCGTCATTATAAATATTACGAATACACATCAAATAGTTTTCTGGTTGCAATTTTCTAATTTTGACTATGTGTAATGTATGCTTTATGTATGCGCGCGTTGAAAGAAATATTTCATAAAGTACACAAATAAATATCAAGCTTTTTTTTTTTTTTTGTAAATTTTGATACTCTTTAGATCATAATTATTTCATAAATTACGGTTTCATATTTTTAATTTTATAATTTCTGCATGTCATCTTACCATATTTAAATTGATGATCTATAATCCGGAAAAACCGACAATCTGGAATACAGTCTGGATTAAAGACTTTTGACTGTGTATGTTTTTCAATGAGAAAGAAAATGTCCCTCCTCAAGGGCAAAGCCTTTCGGTTTTACTATGCCGCATCCAAACTCTCTCATATCTTAAAGCATACAAAATGACATATAAAAATATAATTTAAAAGCACTACAAAAAATTTACAATAAATCTACAACCAATTTTTAAAAGTATTTGTTTTCTTTAAATTGGATTTAAAGGTATTAAAATTCTCTCTCCAAGTATCATAAAACTGTCCTAATTTTGGAGTGTTCTACATGTTTTCAACAAATTGTAAATTTTACATTTCTTGAAAATATTGCTTGAATAACATTATCTTATAGTCCTGTTGAAAATCTTTGGCAAAAGTGTTATATTCAATATAAAACACATTTTCTTATTGTGAAACAATGTAAAATGGCATTTAGAAATTAATAAACAGAAATAATAAAATACAGTACAATAAGAAAATACTACTTGATAAAAAATATGGGGGGGGGCGGTCCTCACAAGCGAACCAGCATAACTACACTGCTCGACATTGAAAATGCAACACCAGGAGAGAGTGGTCAGAAAGTGATGAAATTTGGAAAAAAGACAGAGACAGCAAGCAGCAATAAGTGATCTTTATTTCAAAATGATAGTCAGAATACAGAGCGAGAATGGCATTGGCTCAGTAGGATGTAGGACCACCGCAGACAGCAATGCATGAAGAAACACCTCTAGGCATAGAGTCAATAAGAATGTGGATGGTGTCCTGAGAGATGGCTCTCCATTCCCTTTCAACCATTTGCCACAGTTCATCTTCTGAACGAGGCAGGGGCAGAGTATGCAAACAGCATCCAATCACATCCCACACATGTTTGATTGGTGACAGGTCAGGAAAGTACAGTGGCCAAGGAAGCATCTATATACCTTGCAGAGCATGTTGGCAGATGCGAGCACTGTGTGGTCAGGCGTTATCCTGCTGAAAAATTGCATTAGGCAGCCCCTGAAGGTAGGAGATTCCCACCGGCCGCAGTACATTATCCAAGTATCGTTGGGCCATCATAGTGCCCTGAATACAAACTAGAAGTGACCTGGAATCATAGGCAATAGCGCTCTAAACCATTATGCCACGTTGTTGGGGCGTTCCAGAGTTACTGCCTAATTAGATCTGTCTCCATGTCAATGCTACACACGTACGCAGCGACTGTCACTGCATAAACAGAAGCGCGACTCATCTGAGAACATGATGTTTCGCCATTCTGTCATCCACATCACTCCAGTCTGGCACCATTCTAAACGTTGGCATCTATGCTGTGGGGTCAATGGCAGTCTTCTTAACGGACAGCGCGAGTGCAGGCCACGTTCAACCAATCAACGGGAAATGGTTGTGGTCGAAACGGGAACATCCAGGGTATCTTGCACATGCTGCAGAATTGCGGTTAAAGTGACTTGCGGGACTGCCACAGCTTGTCAGCAGATGCATCGATCCACAAGTGCTGATGTCACTCTGGCTGCACCTGCACCCCTCCTTCTTCTCATATTTCGTTGTTCCAACAATGTTCGCCATAGCCGATGCACCGTGCTCGCATCCATTTGGGTATCAGCTGCGATTTGGCGTGCGGATCAACCCGCCCTTCTCAGTCCGATCACCATACTCCTCGTAAAATCGTCTATCTGCTGGAAATGCCTTTGTTGACAGTGGCCTGGCATTCTCTCATATTACACTTATCCTCCGGGACAAAAATCAACTTTCTTCAATAATTCGTCTGGCAGAAATAACGACCCGAATATTGCCCATTATGCACTTTCCTTCCCTTATATCTTACTTCACGTGCGTTGGAGAGCTGCGCATTTCACATCATTCGCATAACTCCTTGCTGTTTGTCTACTCTAAAATTTCCATAAATTTCTGACCACTCCTTCTTCTTGTTGCATTTTGAAAGTTGAGCAGTGTATTTGCTGATGGCTGTGGGATGCTTAAATACAATTATACATAAAAACCTTCATTTCTTACACAAGGTAAATGGCTTTTAGCATTGTAAAAATGTATCAAAATTATTAATTCTGAAGTATAGCGATAAAATTCTTCGATGTTACATAACTGAAATAAAAATATATAAAAATTCATATTAAGACTAATAACTTGTATGTTTAAGTTTGGTCTTACAAATTTAAATAATACCTGGATCGTAAAGAAATGATCAATACAACAGCTCTCACAACAAAAACTATTACACTAGTGGCAGGGAAGACAAGTGAAATAAACACAAGGGGGCATGAGCTATTCAGAATGCATAGATGGCGCTGGCCACAAGTGAACGGTATAAGTCAGCACCGTCCTTTTCACCGTCATCATGACAGTAATGATGGAAGGTGATCACAGTCAGCGTGGTTCCTATAAAAGGAAGGTATACAAGGATAGTGATATCCATTGTTGCATAGTTTCTGTGTGCGGAGACAAAGCACCCTCAAAGCGTACCATACCCCATTGGTTGGCCAAAGTTCAGCAGTGATGTGGAGACCACATTGGATGACCAGCAACATTACATACAGCAGCAAACGTAGCCCCCGTGTCGGAGTTGATTATGGCGAACAGCTGCATAATGTTCAACAAGATGCAGGAAGAGACAGGGCTTGAGCAAGGAACACTGCAAGTGCATGATGATTTGGAGATGACAAAGGTGTGTGTGCAAAGTGAGTGCCTGAGGCACTTGCACCACAAGAAAAGGCGAAGTGCATCGACATCTGAAAAGAACTTCTTGCACAGCATGATGCCGATCCGGACGACTTCTTTGCCCGCTTGGTCACAGGTCTTGGTTTCTTGGTTTTTGCACGACGCACAGCTCCATGAGGTGGAAGCACACATCAAGTTCATGTTGCAAGAAGCCTAGGCCAGCGTTAAATACGCGAAACAAATGCGACGTCCAGGGTATTCTTCTTGTGTACTAGCTGGAGCCTGAGTGCACTATCAACAGCGACTGTGAGTTTGCTAGAACGATGCGATGCCACATTCAACAGCGCTGTCCAGGCAAACAGGTATGGCATGTGCTGTTGCAGCACATCCCCACACCAGCCAGAACACCCGTGGCACTCACGAGGCATTGAGCTGAAGCTCGAACTATGCCTTACTTGAGAAGATGAAGGACACAGTCAGGGGCCAGGATGTTGAATCTTCTGCCGAATTGCATGCAATTGTCCATAGGTGGTGCACTAACACCCCCACAGACTGGTTTACCAAAGCCCCTCATCAGACAGATGGCAGAAGTGTATTGACTTGGGTGGGGATTATTTCTGATGTAGTATCAGTTTTTAGTTACTAAATTGTATTCCGCTCTGCAGCAGCATTTCTGTCATTCATTTCTGTATGACCTTAATAAAATTTTACATTACCCAACAATAATAATGTAAAAAAAAAAATTAAACCTGTGCAGTGTGCGTGTGGAGGGGATAGCATTTTTTGCTAAAATATGACTAGAGGAATGTGACCGGTGAAACAGTTCATAGCTGTAGCTCACTCTCCTAAAAAATTAATTTCAGTATTAGAAGCATACGTAGGAGGAGAATGGTCATGTGCTATCACTGCTGACATACTCCATAAAGAAAAAATGCAAGGAGTAATACACATAATGTAATAATTGGGTCAGAGCACAGTAAAAAAAACTTTCATCTTCTAAGAATTTGGTATTAGAAGAGATTGTTAACAAAAGATTGTAAACATTGGATTAGAATTTTTCCTCTTCTTACCTCTGGGCTTTGGAGAACATACCCAAAAAATTCTGAATGGAAAAACTCTGGGAAGATAAGGAAGACCCATAGAAGTCAAATTTGGGAGTAAAATTTTCACAATTAGGATTTAAGGTCTTGTTGAAGTGAAAAGGTTACAATTTCTTTTTAATAAGTCTGAAGTAATTTTAATTAATAATTTGGAAAGTAAAAGCTAATTAATTTTTAGTAGCAAAAGGTATTCTACTATTTCTAAGAATTAATTTCAATTTGTTTGCTGGGTTAAAAGGTCTACATTCTTTCTAGTAAGAAAATTTGGTTTATATATTTCAAAAGTAATTTTAGAATATTGTCTCAAAATTTTGTAAATGTCTGAAAAAGGAAAAGAAAGTTTTCTGGTATTTGGATATTGAAATTTCTCATACATTACTAAATCACCAGGTTTAAAATTAATTGCATTAAAACAGGTGTCATATCTTTGCTTGTTTACATTATGGTAATTTTCAGACCTTTACTGAGAAATTTTAGCTTCTTCAATTAATGGATGCAGATCTTGAGCTTCGATTAATGGACCATATGGTAATTTTTCATACATTAAATAACACTGTGAGAATTTTGTACAAAAGGTATATTATAGTGTTACAAATTATATTAATGTTATGATATTGTTACAAAAGGTATATATTAATATATTTTTTGGAAACCTGAGGCAACAATTTTGTTCATGTGATGTTACCTTGATAAAAATTCAATTTACATGTAATCTGGTTATAATTAAATTAATTAACTATTTCTACTTTGATATTAGTTTGTGATCTATTAGCAGTAGCTAATAATTGTGTAATATTATAGTTTTTGAAAAAATGTTTAAATTTTGAACCAGTATAGGCAGCATTTCTTTCTATCACTGAAATTTTGTTTGGGGACTTGAATTTGAAAACTTTTTTTAAACACTTTATATATGAATACAAGAATTATTTTTCTTTTAATTGGTTGCAGAAAATTATAATTTTTTGGGGGGGGATATTCAGATACACTTTCCATTTACTTCCCTGCATAGTTACCTCTCCAACTGAGACATCTGTTATCACATGTTTCCAATACTCTAATGCAGTCACCTGTACCTCTTGTTTGCTGGTGGGCCTTACAGAATGGAAGAAGTGTGTTGGTAATCAGTATTTGGAAAATTGTTTGAGATTATTTGGAAAAACTCAGTCTCAAAACTTAGTAACATATGCTCTACAATGAACAAATTTTTTCCCTTCATAATTAAATTTCAGTTTCCGAAATTTGATAATATGTATGGCTAACTCATATAATTCTTCATATTGGTAAAATTATAAGATACAGTTATAAGAGTAATAGTAAAAATAATAATTACAGCAGCAGCACCCCATCCTGGATCAGTACTGGCATTTGCTGCAGATACACAAGATGCAATGAAGAAAAATACAGCCCAGGTACCATTGTATGCAGTTTCCTGAAATTAAAAAGAAATCATATAGAGAAACTCAGTAAATATATATTAAAAAAAAAATAATAATAATAATACGGTGTGGTGCATAAAAATTCAGCTCATGTGTGTGTGTACAACAATAAATATATTCCAACACTTAACACTATGCATATACTGCTATCCTATTTTTTAAACTTTGGTGATTTTGCTGTTGAACTCTATACGGCGTAAATGCGTATATGGCATCTCTTGGCTTATTTTCAGTTTATCTTATTTTTAAGTGCGCATTCAGAATTGCAAATGTTGCAATTCTGAATGTAATGGCTCTGGAATTGTAAAAATAGCTCAATTACAACTTGAGATATATGCAATTTTGTTGCATATATCTCAAGTTGTAATTGAGGGGAACTTGGCAACATTTCTTGCCAACATGGCAACTTTCTGGAAGATTTGAAAAATATATTTTTGAAACCGTTCAATTGTTTGTTTCAGAAGTTTTCCGAGCCCATAATGCACAGTATAAATACAGGTCGAAGAGCTAGGGAGTTCAGCTGCGAATCATTTGCAAATCAGCTGTGAGACTTCACGGTTAGCTGAACTGCTAGTTACGGTTTTCCTGAGAGTCATTTGAGGATTATGACTTATAGTGTGTTCTCAGGAAAAATTACTAAATATATGCACTCTCCCTGAATTTTCTTCCAGCTATCATTGTGATGTGTGTGCTGCATATTCTGCTCATTCCCATAACTGTTCCTTTCTTCCTGCTCGAGTCATTATTTAAAGAAACATGAACAACCTAGTAGATCACTACAATATTCTGAACATAATTTTTATAAATCTTAAGGCTTATCTGAATCTTGAATAAATAAATTCCTACATATATTTAAGGCTGAGGATCGGTGCTAGATATCTTACTGCCTGATGTAATCTCTGTAGGTCCTAAATTCTGCTACCAAATGCCTCCCTAAGTTCCAAGTTTTTGAGGCCCCTAAACTTTGGATCCCAGTGCTTTCCCTAAACTCTAAAAATATTTTCATCCTTTAATTTTGTTGCTCGTTGCTTCTCTAAATTCCAAAAATCTTATCTTCCCTAAATTCTGCTGCCCGGTGCGGCCATATAAGTTCTGGGTTTACGTGGGGGGGGGGTATTATTTTTAATTCAAATAGCACTAAATGTAATCTTTTGGCCTTTGAGTATCATTAACAAAATCTATTTTTGGCATATGGAAAGAAATTTTTGTTTAATTTTTCCTCGTCAATATTTCTTAGTGCATTCAACTTAGATCTGTAATCATTGCCAAGCATAAGAATGCCAGGTTACTATACTCTTTGTACTAATATAAAAAAAATTTTGGCATTGCTGCATGAGCCATTACTCAAGCTGTCATGTGTTGATAAATATGCAGTGATGAAAGCAAAATAATATAAATAATGATTTGCCAGTTGGTGTCAGGGATATAATATATTAATTAGTAGGTATAAAATCAACAATGTTTTTATCTAGAATGTTTTGGTGTCAGATATATGACAAAGCAGATATGCAGCTACGAGGCAAAACTATTGATCACACAAATGTATGCTAAATTATTGTTTCTTCAATAACAAGGTATTTATTTAGTGCCCAAGGGAAATTAAGAATCAGGACTCTCCACATGTTTTATCTGCTTGGGGGAGGGAGAAAACCAAATCTGCAAGCGTAGAGCATTAACAAAAAAAAGTTGGCGGGGGTTTTGAGGTCCAGATTTTAGATCATTCCGGATATTGGACGTCCAGATCTCGGACTTTGTACTGTATGCTGATTTGCAATATTAAAGACAAAACACAGAAATTAACAGAAAAGCAGAATAGGTAATACAGAAATGTAATTTAATGGACATGCATGAATATCAAATTCATCAAGATAGAGATTTTGATAATTTAACTAACTATCAAAGCAATAAAATTAATTTATGAGGGATTCTGATGTCCAAAAAATCATAAAGCTTCTAAATGCAAAACAGTTAAAAGAAACTTATTCACTTTTACAAAGAGTAAGTGAATAACTCATATTTGGCAAAATAAGATATACAGATTTATTTATGCATTTTGCAAGTGAACTGATAACCACATTAGAAAAAAAATAATAAAATAGAATTCAATTTAGGCTTATTTTATAACATATATTACGATTCTATGCAATGATTTCTCTAACTTCATTTGGTGCAATTTCAATAACTTGTTTCGTTCAATATTGCTTAAAATTCTTATAATATTTGGAACTGGATTTGATGTCCACACATATATTATCACTAGATAAAATTTTTATAAATTGCACAGCAAAATTAATATACTTACTACTAGTAACCATGGAAGCCAATGTAATCGCTCCACAAAATGAAACAAATATGCAAGGAATAATAATAAAGTGACCCAAAATCCAGTTACAGCCACAAAGACATACCAACCACCAGCTGATCTATATGCTGCAAAGGGTATTGTCTGTACACATATAAATCCTATGAGACATACAACCTAAAAAATAGAGTTCTGCATTATGATTGCATGAAAATAAAAGGCAGTTTATTATGTTAATTTTTAAAAAAGTCTGCAACTATTAAGAATCTCATACAATGACATGACAAGTACTATATGCTCTACCTTAAGCAACGTTTTTTGTCAACAAATTACATATGATCATTTGAATATGGCAAAGCACACATGGGTTATTTGCCTACAGGTAGGAATACTTTTTTGGAGGTCATTTTAAGAGAAAGTGGCTCATATTCATGTTACATGCAAAGAAAATCATGATAACTAACTATTCATCAGTGATTGAATTGTGTTGAAATATCAGTATTCTGCCATCTTAACCATTCGGCCAATTCTGGGGCTAATAATAAACAGACAGATACATATTTATACATTGTCAGGACAAAGTTAAATTCTGATAATCCATACACACTATGAATTCTCTTTTCTTTCACACAATACAAATTTAACTAAAAATTTAGGAAGGGGAAAAAAGAAAATAAAATTCATAATGAATATAATCTGCACATCTTGAGGCCAAGGGTTTGCAGAGATTAAAGAATTTTTCAGATTACAAACCATGTCTTTTAATTTTGTTTTATTTGCATATGAATAATTAAACAGAACAAATTCATATCTTAAGAATTAGGTAAGATTTATGAAATAAAAGAGTATTACCATTTTTATGTACAATTAATTACATAAAAGGAAAATATCAGTTCAAGAAAAACCGCACTAAGATAAAAAAAGGGAACTTTCAGAGGAAATAAAAATAAATAAGTAAATAATAAAATTTTTTAAAGAAATGCAGCATTTAAAAAAATGTATATGCATCCAGTACTCCACATTTAAAAAAAATGTATATGTATCAAAAAAGAATATTTTCAAATTAATTTTTATGCTCATAAATGAAAAAAGAATATATTCCCAGCGAGGTCTGTGGTTCGATTCCCAGCGAAGGCGTTGCATATTTTTCATCTTGCCTGCTTCCTAAAAATATGTAATGTCTCTACAGTGGCACCCGAACTAAAAAGGTGTTGGATGATGATTCTCCTCACCCAGGATTTGGTGATTGGGTACCCTAAAACCCCAGTTGCTCTTTAAAAAGGGAAGTATATACGGTATTTCTCCCGCCTTTTCTAACGTACCTTCGTGGTGCAGTGGTTCTGCACATTGGACCGGTATTCCAGAGGTCCGTGGTTCGATTACCAGCGAAGGCATTGCTAATTTTTCATCTTGCCTGCTTCCAAAATACCTAATGTCTCTATACACTAAAGAATGTTTTTTCCTTCAAAGAGAAATCAGTCCATTTGACCATTAATTACAGTACAAAGTCTGAAATATGGAACAATCAGGACTTTGACAATTTTGGATTTTGGATATTTCCATATTTTAGATCACCGGTTTAAATCTAAATTGATAACATGCAGAAATTATCACATTAAAAATATGAAATTATTAAGCATTTATGACCTAAAAGGAATCTAAATTTACCCCCCCCCCCAAAAAAAAGAGCTAAATAATTGCTTGTTTGTTATTAAATACTTATTTCAATGTGGTTGTTTTAGCTGTTACTGTGATAATATTTTCTTTAGTTTTACAGACAGATATATTTCCCCTTCTGTAGCATTCAAAATCTACATCAAAACTATGTTAATGGTCTCAATTATTTCAAAATTGCACTTTCGTAAGCTGGAATTTTTCCAAAGCTGTTATAGACAGAAAGTACCAAATATGCTTTTGCTTTGAAGATCCAGAATAGTAACTTTTTGGCAAAACAAAAATTCAAACTTTAATTTTAATGAGATAGCTGTAATAAAAACAGCCTGCAAAACTAATAAATTATAAAGTTTAACCCTTTGAGGTTCGGAGCATAAAAAAACAATTTTTTTGCGGAAAAAATAACTTTACACATAGATAATTAGCCCCTAATACAATGTTATTTCATGGAAAAAAAAACAAAAAAACAGGTAAACCTTTAAGGTAATTCATGTGAGCGTAAATTTTCCTAATATACTTATCTAAAGTGCTAGTTTTAGCAACCAAATGAAAATGTAAGATATAAAAAACATTTTTGAATAATTATCTAGAAAATATTTATCACATTCGAAAAATAAAATAAAAGTTTTCTAAAAAAAAATTACATAATTTTGCTATAATTACAGTTTTGCTATTTTGCTAAGGAAGATATTTAGAAGGCCGTCATGTTTATTTACATTTCACCTCTCTTTCCTATGTTTAGGATATTTTTCTATGGTAAATCACACTCACATATCCATTCAGCAACCTGTTACAATGACATTTCATGTTACAGAGTTATATTTTCATTTATTTCAGGAAAAATACTAAATATTTTTCAAGTTTTAACATTATTGCAATTTATTGAAAAATATAAATTTGTATATTCAACATATAAAATGAACGTGACACTTGATTTAAAAAATATTTGAACGGTGCTGCCATCTAGTAGCAGGACTTCCTACATGCGCTGTGGGATGTATTTGTCGCACCTTTTAATTTAAACCGTTCTTAATTAATATATATGAATTCAAATAATAATTTTTATTAGAAAAGGAAAATTTCACATAAAAATATTCATTCTAACACCAAATGTTGTTGTTCAGACCATTTAAATTGCATTAGAAATTAAGAAAAAAAAAAAAAAACTGCTTCAAAATTAGGTCTGCAAAGAAATTTTATTTTACATTATTTCCATGAATTAAAACTGGTGCTGCCATCTGTTATACATTTAGAGAACTAAAAGGCATAATTGTATGTATTTTAAATGGAATTTTGCAGCTTTTATCAGGGAGATAAACTGATTAAGATACCTAGCGTCCCACTGCCCGTCAAAGGGTTACGAATGTAAGTAGCTATGTTGACGGAACTTCAGTTCTTTGGACTCTAAATCCCCCCCCCCAACGATCAGGCCAATGAAAGAAAATCATTATGAGCAACACCCCACTCCAAACAAATATGTCTTGTTGCTTTACGTATTAATTTACTCAGATAAAATGAATCCGAGTCCTTCACAAACATTCAAGGGCCAAAAGTGTGGCTGTGGTTGATATCAATAAATATCATAATTTTTTTACGAAACAAAAGCAAAATACAAAGCTTCTAAACAAGTGACACATGGAATGACATTAAATTATTTTAATATTGGTTAGACTCACTAAATAACAAAGTTAGACTTACTACTTTATTGCTTTATATATTCTCCTCAAGAAAAAAGAGAAATTTATGAATTATATTATGAAAATAAGACTGCCCAATAAAATTAAAGAAGAAGAGATTTCTGTTCAGATAAAATCTGATTTTCCAAGACTACACTCTCTCTCTTACATATCTCATCACATAAATTTAATTTAGAAATAGCAATTTATCTGGCTCTGGAAAGTCAACCCCTCCTGTATCCATATTCATCGGATGCTGTATTTTAAGAATATTTCAAAAGGAAAACGTTAAACAAGTAAACGTCACAAAAATACTATGAAAAAATGTATTAAAAAAAAGAAAGAAAAAATTCTGAAGGGTCTAGATTTTACCAGTTGCTCAAATGGGTTCCTTTTTAAGTTCAGTAGATTATAAATATAAATGGCCCAGGTATAACAGTGAAACATTTTACAGGATACTATATTAATACATATCTTGACTAATATTGGAACACTATATCTTCTACATATTTAAAAAATGAAAATATATGTAACAACTCTATAAAAGAACTTAAAGTATAAAAATTATATTGTTACGAATTTTGTATTTCGATAGATAATTTTAGTAGAATTATAATTTAAATTGTTTTATTTCCTCGTGCAATACAGCGCAAGACAAATTTTAAGAGAAAGCTATGCTGGAAAAGTAAAAATACAGAATACATTTAACATTGAATAAATGGATATCTCCGTAAGTTGTTTTGATATTGATGACCACTATGTTAGCTGTAACCATAATTCCATTCTTTTATCGATTTCCAGAAATCTTGAGAAGCAGAAAATGCTAGAACTATCTCCCACGGCCGGTTGAAAACTATTTAAAGCTGGAGAGAGACATCTCAACTCAGTTTTGTTTAGTTAGTAGCTTAAATATTGTTATTGCTATTTAATCAGTTCCACGTGAATTGAGATACCTGAATTATCTTACACTTTTGATAATGCTTCGTATTGCGTTGTATGTTAATGTTTTTAGTAGTTTAAAGTATAACTACTGATTATATTGCGCAATATCGTGAATACTTGTACAAATATCTCCGAGGAAAATTCAAGCATTCTCATATATTTCTTTCAATAAGAATAAATTAACCTATTATCAGCATTCAATCTATTACAAACCCGTAAGCACACAATAATATTTTTATTAAAATACATTTTTTTTTCAAAGCTGAGTTAATAACAAAACAAAAAAATGAAACATGTATACTTCACATCTTGCCAGATGGCAATGGACTCAAATAAAAAGTGAATTATGCATTTTACAATGGATCACATTTAAACGAAAATCCTGTTCTGAGACTAACAAGCTTTCTGAGCTAAAACATTCTCAGTAATTGGACTGATAGGCTCTTGCCATCAAGTTAAAAATTTTACATAAAATACCTGATGCTAATTGCTGGTTAAATCAGAAATATAATGTAAAAATATTTATTTAATACAGAGCAATATCACTTAAAATTTGCAAAATAACATGTAAAACTTTTTTAAGGGTTGTTTAGCAATAATGCAACTTCATATAAAAATTTTTGGGGGCTAATCTTTGGAATATGGTAACAGGTAGTTTGGCGACATTTTGGTAGGCGATAAAGGTTACCTAGGACTTTGGGAATAACGTGAGAAGTACTCAGTTCCGATTACGCATTTTTTCGTGTGAGGGAAATGAGAGATCATGAGATATGTCATGTGACATTAATGGACGAATTACAGTTCTTTAATCGGAAAAGGGGGGAAATCTGGAAATTTTGTATTTAGCTTTATTCTGTGTTGTGTGAAACCGTGTTGGTTAATTTTTGGATCTCATGGCCCTATCTAAAGTGAATTCGAAATGGGTATTTAGTGGGATTGAAAGGGGTAGTAATAAGTGTTTTTTTTTAAGGTTGTGAGAGATAGAAGTAAAAATTGCTTATTAAGTTTTATTAAGTTATTTATTTTACCTGGTACCTTGCTGTGAACTAAAAGTATGATTTTAAAGATCCTGAAACAGGCGCACATACGATTGCTTTTTATTTAGCAGAGGAAATAAGAAAGGTTTATCCGCCACGTAATCAAGATTCTGAAGAAGATTAGGTAAGTTAGTAGTTTTTAATTATTGAGGATTTGAGGATATTTTTGATGCCTTGTTTAAATGTAAGGAGTAAATAAAGTAATATGGTATTATTGGAAAATTGTTATTAGCAATGATTTAGTTAAAGTAAAGTAATTAGGATTGTAAGCTAATTTTTATTAATTTAATGTATGTGCTTATTTATATTTTACGTAGTGTTTTTAATTTAATTATATTTTAATTAAATGATTAGTTATTTTTTGAATTATATGTTTGTAGGAATTTAGTGTACGCTTCAGTGGAAGTAAACGTGCATGGCAATAATTTAAGTATTTGCAACCATTTTTAATGTTTGCGTTATGAATTTGTTGGTGACATTTATAATAGATAATTTAGAGGTAAAAGTTTTTGGATATTTTATTAATTTTATACGTGCAAATGTTCATCTTGGAAAGGGTATATACTTTTTTGCAATCAGGTAATTTCATATATGTCCTTTTTACCGGATTTAAAGATTCAAAAATTTTCATGCATTTTCGTGAAAGTTTTCTAATTTATGAGAAAAAAGCAGTGTACATGGATATAGTGAAGAGTGGCGCAATGCCATTTTGTGCAATTCTGGGATTTTTTTTTAAGTAAAAATAAGTCGGCGTGTACATGGCTTAGTTATATTTTAAAATGATAGTTATTTTGTGAATTTTATGTTGTAGCAAATTGGTATACGTTTCAGTTGAAGTAAACGTGCATGGAAATAATTTAGATATTGACCTAAGTATTTGTAACCATTTTTAATGTTTGCGGTATAAATTCATTGGTGACATTTATAATATAATAAGTAATTAGAGGTAAAATTTTTTGATATTTATTTATTTTATACGTGGAAATGTTCATCTTGGAAAGGGTATTACTTTTGCGATCAGGTAATTTCTATATGTGCTTTATACAGAGTTTAAAGATTTACAAAATTTTCCTGCATTTTCATGCAAACTTTTGTAATTTATGAGAAAATAGCAGTGTAGATGGATAAAGTTAAGAGTGTGTGCAATGCCATTTTTGTGCAATTCTGGGATTTTTTTTAAGTAAAAATAAGTCGACGTGTACATGATTTATGTGCACGTGTGATTTTGAAAAACACGGCAAGGAGTTTGCGATTCTGCACTTTTTGCCAATTTTGCAGTTAATATTTGTCATGATTAAGCAGTTTTGTTCCATAAAATTTCTAGCATAAGTGTAATTCGGATAGCAGATTGTTGGAAAAAGTGTTCAGTAAATAAAAAGAAAAGAAACATGTCTTTACTTCATGAAGACAAAATGGCGGCGAACAAAAAATAGAGGGTTGCTGTCTCACAGTTGGTCACCAAATTTTCGCCAAGTTACCATAATGCAAAGATTAACCATATTTTGAATTTATATAATTATTTTAACCACTAAAAATCAAATTTGATACAGATAAGCATTTACAAACAACTAGATACAACTAGCTTTTAGTTCATTAAACACAAGTCATAATTTTAAAATGTTTTATAAATAATGAAAACACGGTTGATCTTTACATTACGGTAACTGGTAGTTTGGCGACATTTTGGAGGCGATAAAGGTTACTACCTGGGTAATATGTGAGCAGTACTGAGTTCCGATTACATTATTTTGTGGGGGAAAATGAGAGATCATGGGATATGTCATGTGATATTAATGGACGAATTACGGTTTTAATCAGAAGAGATGATGGGATATGTCATGTGATTTTATGGACGAATTACTGTTCTTTAATGGGGAAATCTGGGAAAAATTGTATTTGGAATTTGTATTGGCTGTGTTGTGTGGAAATAGTGTTTGTGAATTTTTGGATCCCATGGCCGTAAGTAAAGTGAATTCGAAATGGGTATTAGTGGTATTGAAAAGGATAGTAAGAAATGTTTTTAAGGTTGTGTGAGAGAGAAATAAACATGTTTTATTATGTTATTTATTTTACGTGGTATCTTGCCTTGAAAGATAAGTATGATTTTAAAGATTCTGAAAGAGAATGAAGAAAAGTGTATCGCACGTAATGAAGATTCTGAAGAGATTAGGTAAGTAGTATTTTTATTATTTTTATGCATTGTTGGAAATGTAAGAAGGAAAGGAATTTGGTATTATTGGGAAAATTGTATTAGCAATGATTTAGTTTAAAGTAATTAGGATTGTAAGGTAATTTATTAATTAATGGAATGTGCTCATGGTATATTTAAATGGTTTTTTGAATTTAATTATATTTTAATGAAATGATAGTTATTTTGTGAATTTTATACTTGTAAGGATTTGGTGTATGTTTAAGTTGAAATAAATGTGCATGGAAATAATTTAAATATTTGATAATAAATATTTGTAATGTTCATGATGAATTCGTTGGTGACGTGTGTCTAATGTAATAGAATTTAGAGGTAAAAAGTTTTTGGATATTTTATTTATTTTATATGTGGAATGTTCATATTGTAAAGGGTAAATACTTTTTCGCGATCATGTAATTTCATATATGTTCTTTTTACCGGGTTTTTAAAGATTGAGAAAATTGTCATGTATTTTCGTGAAATTTTTTAATTTATGAGATAAAAGCAGTGTACATGGATATAGTGAAGAGTGTGCGCAATGCCATTTTTGTGCAATTCTGGGATGTTTTTTTAAGTAAAAATAAGTCGACGTGTACATGGTTCAGTGATATTTTAATGAAATGATAGTTATTTTGTGAATTATATGTTTGTAGGAATTTCGTATACATTTCAGTGGAAGTAAACGTGCATGGCAATAATTTAAGTATTTGCAACCATTTTTAATGTTTGCTTTTGAATTGTTTGGTGACATAATAATAGATGATTTAGAGGTAAAAGTTTTTTGGATATTTTATTTATTTTTACGTGCAAATGTTCATCCGTTGGAAAGGGTATAGACTTTTTTGCAATCAGGTAATTTCATATATGGTTCCTTTTTACCGGATTTAAAGATTCACAAAATTTTTCATGCATTTTCGTGAAATTTTTCTAATTTATGAGAAAAAAAAGCAGTGTACATGGATATAGTGAAGAGTGTGCGCAATGCCATTTTTGTGCAATTCTGGGATGTTTTTTTAAGTAAAAATAAGTCGCGTGTACATGGTTTATGTGTATGTGTTATTTTGAAAAACGCGTAAGGTGTATGGTATTGTGCACTTTTCCGAATTTTGCAGTGAATATTTGTCATGATTAAGCAGTTTTGTTTGATAAAATTTCTAGCATAAGTGTAATTCGGCTAGTAGATTGTTGGAAGAAGTGTTCAGTAGATAAGAAGAAAAGAAACATGTCTTTACTTCGTGAAGACAAAATGGCGGCGGGGGAAAAAAAATAAAGGGTTGCTGTAGGGGAGTTGGTCGCCAAATTTTCGCCAAAAAATCGCCAAGTTATCGTAATGTAAAGATCAACCGAAAACACTACCATAAACTAAATATATACAAAAGAAAAATTTGATATTTAAAAAGAAATTAATTTTACTTACAACTTCAAGTATTTTCAAAATACCAGGAAGCGTTTTTACGTAAGTTGGATCGAAGCGAATATTTGGAGATATTTTTGTTGTCGTAGTCTGAGCTGAAATGGTCACATTAGTCGTCATGTTCCCGGAGGATAATCTATAAGTGTAAATATCAAACATGTTAAAACTGAAAATAACTCATTGTTTTCCCTAACATACTTCAATTAAAACTTAATTTTAATAAGTCATAGCCACCCCACATTAGAGACCCCCCAAAATCGAATAGAAAGTTTAAGTTTCCTTCTTTAATGAACTTTTTTAAACAAAATATCAGTACAGTGAAAATCTGTCAGGTTTATGTTAGCTTCTTCATTAATCTATCGCATGAACACAAAAAATCTATATTTCATAAATTCATAGCTTTTAAAGCGGAATTCAGCTAAATTTTCGAAATTACGATGTACAAATTTGGCCAATGTAAAGCTTCTATTTTTACATATCACATTTTGCGATATGTTTACAAAAATATGGGTTTCTGTTTGACTTAATTCAGCCATCATAATTGTGAAAATTTACCTGAATTCCGCCCTAATGTCAGCAAGGATATGAATTTTTCACAGCGAGATGACAAAGTTAGCAATCAGAAAAACGCATTTCGGAAGCTTGTGGAAAAGTTCACAAACTGCAGCGATATGATTTTTAACTATGTCATCTTAATCACAACTGCAAAAAATTCAGTTCCATTTTGTTTCAGTGGATTCTGTTGGAAAGAAATTCAGTTAATGGAAAGAAAATAATAAATTAGTTAAAATAAGATTGCTTTTCAAAGACAGAAAATAACAAAAGAATGGGCATTCCCATCCCCCCTTTTCTTTTAAGTTTTGCATGCAATAATTAATTGAATATAAATATATATCCACTTTGGATGTAACGTTTATCTTTAATGCATGTACACTGCGCAAAAAAAAAAAAGGGGGGGGGACAATTCTATATCTCCTGTTCTACTCGGGCGATTGATGAATTTCAACTTGTGTTTTTTATGTATTGATAGAGCGACTTAGGATATGTATTAGACTTATATATAGCATTGTTCTAAATATAGGTATTTTGACACAAAATCGGACTTTTTCTGAAATAACATGCCAATTTTTTTTCCATATTTCAATTCTATGACTCAAATTATGCCAAACTACCACCTTTTGTAAAAATCGCCTGAAATAACATGGCAATTTTTTTTTCCATATTTCAATTCTACGACTCAAATTATGCCAAACTACCACCTTTTGTAAAAATCGCACAAGTAGTTTTTTAAAAGATTAGACCTCAAAATTTTAGCTCACAATGTTGAGTTTGGCATATATTTCTTAATCTCTCTTTTGTATTAAACATATTTGATTCTTCCTTTCACATTTCAAAATTCAGGTTCATTCCAAATAAAATTACCCATTTTTATGATTTATTTTAAAATAATTCTTAAATTTTTCAAAAAAAAATTTGAATTATTATTTTATAAATTTTTTACCATCATCTCAAAGTAGACGTATTTCTAAGCATACCTGCAATAAATTAGTTTTTTATTCAAAAATTTCCGAAGATATACGTAAATTTATATATTGGCATGTTTTGAAATTTTGCATATTTGTTGAAAGTGATAAAACATCAAATGTGGTTTCTAAAATTATCTGAAAGTACGAATGATGCGACTTTGAACCCCCTCATGCACAACATAAAAAGATAGGAAAGAGGTGCCAAGATAAATTTTTGAATTTTCCCATAAATTTCCCACCAAATTTTACAAAATTTTATACCTAGGCATAATTTGAGTCATAGAATCGAAATATGGGAAAAAATTGGTATGTTATTTCAGGAAAAGTCAGATTTTGTGTCAAAATACCTCGAGACACAAAAAAAACCCAATTTCAATTTTGTCAAACGGCTCAATAGAATGGGAAATATAGAATTATCCCATTCAAAAATAAAATATTTGACTAAAATATGAATAACATTTTAAGAAAGTAAATGTAGGATGATAAAATTGTGTAAAGCAATGAGCACAATGTTAAAGCTATTTAAAACAATATATGCAAGTCATCCTAAGTTAAAATGTCGGTTATACATCTTTCTCATTTATATATCTTTTCTGAACGGAACATTGAAAGGCGTGTTAACTGTGCTTTACTGTATTTTCTCTTGAATATATTCAGTTTTCAGATGCACCGTAGTCTGGGACACAAAGTATTCTTCCGAAAGAACCGCAATTTATATAAATAAAATAAAATCCTGGAAAATTTATATTAATAAATATATTTAAAATGCTCAGTTTGAATGAATAAATAGAAAATTTTAAAACAATTATCTGAAGAGACAATGCAACACAAACAATTAAAATAAAAGTCTAAAAATTACATAAAATAATTACTATGACAAAAAAAATTATAAAGAAAACTATTTGAAAAAAATAAACGATGCACCTTTTATTTAAACTACGCAGTTCAAATGGGTAAATAGAAATTTTCTGTTAATCTTTGGATTATGGTAACTTGGCGATTTTTTGGTGAAAATTTGGCGACCAACCCTGCTAGTTTTTGTTTGGACGCCATTTTCTTTTCACGAAGTAAAGGCGTCCAAACAAAAACTAGAAGTTTCACGAAATTTTTTTTTTTTTTTTTTTACTCAACATTTTTTTCCGACAATCTGCTAGCCGAATTACGCTTATGCTAGAACTTTTATGGAACAAAAGTGCTTAATCATGACGAAGATTAGGCGCGAAATTGGGAGAAAGTGCAGAATCGCAAACTGCTTGCCGCGTTTTAAGAATTGCACATACATACACAGTATATATGCACAAAGTCGGCCATTTTCACTTAAAAAACAAACAACCCCATTTTGCAAAAAAAGGCATTGCGCACACACTTGGACAAAACACTGCTAAAGTCTTAGCTAGTAACCTTTACGCCAAACTACCTGTTACCACATTCCAAAGATTAGCCAAATGTTTAAAAGTTTTTTGAAAGAAACCATGCAACAAACAATTAAAATGAAATTCGAAATTACGTAAAATAATAACTTAAAATAATAACAATTACAATTAAAAATGTAATATGAAGAACATTATTTGAAAAAAAAAAAAGGATTGTAACTATTTTTTCCACTCACGGGAAAGAAAAATAGGTTGCCATATATTAAGAATTTCGCCAAGTGAACTAACTATTCTTGGCACAAACTGGAAAAAAAAAAAAAAAAAAAAAAAAAGAGCCAACATATGAATTTTTCCATAAATTTCTCACCAAATTTTACAAAATTTCATATTTAAGCATAATTTGAGTCGTAAAATCGAAATATGGAAAAAAATTGGTATGTTATTTCAGAAAAAGTCCGATTTTATGTGAAAATAATAGATGAGAATGTTAGAATAGAGCTCTATATAAATCTAATATATATCCTAAGTCGCACTTTCGAGACATGAAGAATGCAATTTGAATTTCGTCAATCGGCCCAGTAGAACGGGAGATATAGAACTGGCTCCCTTTTCTATTTTTACGCAGTGTACATATCGATAAAAACAGGAAATAAGTGGGCGATTCTGTATTTATCCCTTTCCAATTAAAAAGAAAACAGCAAATGGCATAATTAAAATTTAATTGAACAAGTAACCATATTACTTCAAAGTAAACTGTTAAAATTACATTAAAAATACACATAATGCAACAAAATAACAATTATTATGCTGTGCACTGAGATAAAGATCTATTTTTTATTAGAAAGATACAAATGCACAAGACAGTCAGATTTCCATTAAAAAAAAAAAATAGAAAGAGAAAGAGAAATCTGAATATTTCTTGGTCTACAAAAGAAAAAAAATGGAAACAAACATTCAGTATATTTTGCTGGTCAACATAGACGATGAGGCAATATTGCTTATAAATATGTTAAAAAATATTTTTTAGAAGTCATCATTAGTTGGTATGTAAATGCAAAAAGCTTTTCACATATCAAATACATCAGTATTTACACACAAAATTTAATTTGTGTATACTCTTTTCCAAGTTAAAAGCTATATAACCCTTTTAAATTTTAATCTGTTCAGAATTTTGTTTCTCATTTTAGACAGACTGAAATTAACAACAACTATCAAAAGTGATAAAGATCTACATTTGATTGAATATATAAAAATTTACATTTCACATTATACCTAGTCTAATGTGTCTGAATTTTATAAACAATTCAATATAAAAATTATTTCAACTTCAGGTAATCTTAGCATGACTCAAACTTTGAGTTAAAAAAAAAAAAAAAAATAAGAAGAATACAGAAATTCAACACCAGCATTATCAATATAATTTTCACAATAAATAAATAACATAAAAAGATAAATTGAATTTTTCTTCTTTTTTTCTAATGGGAAGTGCCTTCAAATGTGTTAACTTTAATATGGATATTCTTCTAAAGAATTGAAAGTCTAATTATAATTAATTCCTCCTCTACTGTGTACAAATATTTACTACTAAACAATAAATAAAAATTTTTAGTGTTTTAAGGCACCCATATTATAGTATACAAGACACAAAAACGGAGTGCAATAGACTTGGTGTTTATCATTTGAATGCCATATATATTCGACTCTTCACTAATTAAAAACAAACTGAAATAAATTTTAAGCACGAATACACTGCTAAAAAACAGAACACATATTTTGCATATAATACACTCCTAAAAAACACTTCCAATTATTAAAACACGTGAAAAAGCATTTCAAAGTATTAAAACACGTCAAAACCTCTTATCTTAATACGACAAACTCAAATCAAAAATTATTTTTTGTGTATTAGCTTTAAACTGAATATGCAATTCCTTCTAACAGCAGTTACTTAACAGGTCAAACATTTAAAATTTTGTTCAGTTTCCTTTATTTAAGAATTTATAGACGGCAACAAATTAAAAGATATTATGAACTCTTAAAGAATATTAATTTTACCGCATATACTTCTTAATTAACAAAATGCACAAATTTTAATGCTACACGACTAATGAGAAGCATGCTCAGATCCTATAAACGCAAACGTACAAAACGAAAATATTTCATATTTACTTACCGCTAAAATGTCACTCTAGTTTGACACTCCCAGAATTAGAATTTATGAAGGTTTTATAAACCGAGCATTACGCGGACGCGGTGGCAATAAAAACATGAATGATATGTTGCCACACGCCAACCGTAAAGAACAAAACTAGGAGTATACTTTAAAAGGTTTTCCTCCTCCTTTTATTCATAAGTTTTAAAACCGCAAAGTTCAGAGATAGTAAATTCATGTTGCATACTGTTAAAGCAATTAATTTGTATCTGATGCATTTAAATCAAACTTCTAAGAAGAAAGAAGTCTAAAAAAACCGTCTTTTTTTCTTAATGTGTTGTTGTGTGAAATATTTTATCCTAAATTTCCTTTTTTTGGAATTTTGGTTTTGGTAAAATATTTAATAAATTGCATATAAAAAGGCTTTTAAAGTATATAATTATGGTAAAATGCACTGAAAAGTAGAAATAAAGAGCTGAATTTTATTAAAAATTTTATAATTACATAATCATCATAACAAAGGTCACCTGAAACTCGAAATAAAATCGTTTTAATGATAAAGACTTAAATCAAAATGGTCAAAGGTAAATGCAAATAACTGAATATAGTCATTCATAAGTAAGATATTTTGATGTAGTTTTTAAGGTCTCTAAAATGTTTTTAATTTGCCAATTTAGTTCTTTAAGGGTTGCCCCAAAGTTTTATTTTTGGTGTCATTTGACATTATACTATGAAAACAAATTGCAATTTGAACGTTTCAAATTGCAGTAAGTACCTTAAAGAAGGGTTTATCATGAAATAATTTCAAAAACGTAAAACAACATAAAAATTTAAAATACAATTTGTTTCTAGTTACATAAGCATATGATGTTAGGAACTTTATTATTACTATAAGCAAAATTTCATACAACTTATCAGTTGAATAATATTTCAAATTTAATACATTTTAATGATAACAATTAGATGCATTACCACGAAAGCATATTTAAAGCACAATTTATCAAGATGTGCTTTTATTGCTTTTAAATTTCTCAGTTTGTTAGTCAGTAAACAATTCCTCAAATTTGAAAGTTAAGCAAAAGATTTTATATTTTATCTAATAGTAGTACTCTGAAAATCTACTGAAAGAAGGCAAGGGAAAAGTAAAAGGTCTGAAGCTTCTCGCAACTGCAATGCAAAGAATTCCATCTAAATTTTCTTCCGTTCATCATTTTGTGGATTATGATCATATCTATGAATTTCATTTCTCTGAGAGAGGAACTTATATGTTAAGTGGAAACTTCAAATCTCTTTCGAAAGAACCGCAGTCCAAAAATTTTAGATTTAATATACTACTCTAATCAAGAATTTGCTGTTTAAAACTTCAATAAATAAATAAATAAGTTTGTGCTAGAAACGATGGAAACAGAATCGAAGTTTTTTCTCTAAATTTTAAAATCAAATTCGTACCAAGCAAGTAATGAAGGCTGGATGATTACAGAAAGATTTGTTTATCAACGAAAGGGAGTTAATAAAACTATTGTTTTGGGGAGAGGAAGAAAATTCTCTTTTAGCTTAATTGTTTTTAAATTTAGAAAGTTTCTAAATTTAGAAAATATCGCAATAAAATTTCGCCTACGAAACAGATATCAAAGTTACAACCTCTTGATCCAGAAATTATTTAGAGTTTTGAAACTGAGTACAGTCAGTAGACAGAAAATTTTTATGTGCTATTGATAAAAATAAATCCTAAATAAAATGCTCCTAGTGCAAATATCCTAGGTGCCATACATATGACTGACTTCATGTCCAGAAGTGTCTCAAAATAAATAATTGAAAAAAGTTTTTTTCAGGACAGACTTTAAAGAAAAGTAGAAAAATAAAGAAGAAAATCAAGCATCGAATCTTTTGAAGTTCAATTGGGAAACCTAGCTTCAGAGTAATGAAAAATTCCTAAATAAGATTAAAAAATGAATAAAGCACAAAATTTCATTACAAGGTTTCTTGGAAATGGGCTCCAGTTGCAACATCCAAGACTTAAAGAAATATCTAAATTATAACAGATACGATCTGATGATGATGAAGTATGTCATGTATTATTATTTGGCAATAGTCGCTAATACAATTTTATAGTAAACTCGAAAAAAAAAAAAAAAAAAAAAAAAAAAAGCCTGCTTTAATAGGATTTTGACAATAGGCATTTAAAATAGCGTATGGAAATTTGAAAAAAATTAGCATGAAATATTTCTGATGGAAATACGTATGTGTGTAATATTATAAAAATTATAATTGATAGAATTCTTGCGAGCAGTAAAACACTGATTTCAAAATTTTAACCAAGAAAAATATTCTGAAAGGATTTAAATTTTAATGGTCGTCCAAAAGGGCTCTTTTTAAGCTTAATGTGGTTTATCAGTGGTTACGATCAGTAGAGATAGATGACTCGGGTGGAATAGTGAAACATTTTATAGGATGCTTGAAGATGAAAATAAAAGGTACTATTCCGTTTTGAGGACGGTCAAAAAATTGCAGCGAAAATGTATGCGCAAAAGCACCAAATCTAGCAAACGCGCCCATTTAAAAGCGCGCCATATCTAGCGTACGCGCTGATTTCAGATTGCGTAAGTTTATATAGTTCTATAATTCTTAAGACGCCTTTGAAATACTAGTTTAATTTTTAAATCCTTTTTTGAGTTTAAATCCATTTTTGATTTTAAATCTTTTTTGATATCCTATGGATTTAATAATTTGGGAATTGCTCATGACGAAAAGTCTGCAATAGAATTTTGGGTAAAGTGCAGAATCACCTACTGCTTGACGCGTTTTTAAGAATTGCACATACGCGGTATCCATGTACACATCGACCTATTTTCACTTAGGAAAGAAATTCCAGAATTGTACAAAAATGCCACTGCGCACACCCTTGACTTTATCTATGTACACATCAACTTAAAAAGTATTTTCACTTAAAAATTTTCACTATTTTCACTTAGTAAAAGAAAAGTTGACAAAAATCCAATTGTTTTTACCGTTGTAAAAAGCGGCAAACAAATAAGTAGGCGATTCGGCACTTTACCGAGAATTTTTTCAAAGAAAAAGCATCATTCATCATAGAAAATTATGTTTGAACAACCAACGAGATGAAATTATGCCTTAGCGATAACTTAATAGCGAAATAGCGATGCAGGCATCCATTCAGTTATGCTTAGCAATTTTTATATAAATTATAATAATGATCTGAAATAGTTATCTACTCTTATGCTTCCATTCAGTCATGTTTAACCTTTTTTTATATAAATTATAATAAAAAAAAAGTATTATATGAATTTAAGCTTTCATCTAAATTAAAACATCTATCTTAGATAGTTATTTACTATTATATACTTCCTTTCTTGCATTAGGGCTGTCGTAATTATTTTTGACAGCACTGGCATCAACAATAGTTTGGCGATTTTTTACGGCCCTCAAAACCGAATAGTACCTTAGACCTGCATGAGAACGTTATATATTTTCTTTATACTTGAAATATGTGACTCAGTTCTATAAAAATACTGACTAGATGTATCATAAATTAAATGCATTTTTATTTAAATCAATCATACAAATCAGATTAAAAAGTGAAATATCTTAAGAACTGTATTTATTGTTTTGAATAGCTTAATTTTTTAATTAATAACAGACCGATTCAATTTGAAAGATAAATATTTTACAGTTTTCTGAATGGCAACAGACTCAAATAGAAAGTGAAGCAGCTCATTTACATGGATGTTATTTAAAGTGAATCAACGCCAGATCGAGTTTCGAGACTAATAGCTCTTTTGAGTTTAAAAAAAGAAATTAAATTTAATACAAGAATAATAATAACAATAAATTAACTCTAAATAGTTAACAGAATTGTAAATAGTAATCGTTTGACTTCTACTGCAAGTCCTAATAATATTGTGATAACTATATTACAAGGACTTTGTAATTAAAGAAGTAAATATTGTATCAACTATATTACTATTGCGAAGTCCTCTCCATAATACTACCTTATAACATATCAATACATTAGTTTCTGCTTCTCAGTTTTGGTGCATCTTATTCAGACATAGATTTCAAGGGTCGTGCTAGTTGCTATCGTAAAACGATCCTCGTTTCAGGGAAGCCTTATACTATTAAGGCCAATTAATTAAAAAATAACAAACACATCCTGCGTTTTAAAAGGAAAGGTCCTCAAAGCTCAGGTCAAGTAGGGCACTTACTTATGAATGTACCACTTACGAATGTAACACTGCCCTCACCTTCATGTTCTTCAACAAGAATAGAAAAAACAATGAAGCTATTTTTTTCAATCTTTAATAATGTTTCCATGAAAACGAAGACGGTGAAGCTAAATTTTTAATCTTAAATTACTACTGAAAATTTTTTAAGTTTAATAAATTATCTTCAGAAATTACTAAAATCACTTTACCAATGGTATAACAAAATCCTGTTTCCCTGCATAAACAGAAAGGAATTTTTATCACAGAAATAATGTATACTAGCTGGATCCATTTAACCCTTCTGTCATGATACATAATAAAGAATGAAGCTTTGTTCGTAAAAACTGGAGGCATCATTTATCAAGCCTACTATAATAATTTCTTTTACCGTAATAGTCGAATATTCGAGTTGAATTGACCGCCTCCCCAAAAAATGAAATATGGTAGTAAAAGACATGTAGCAAGTGATAAAAATAGGTAGGAGTGATAATAAATTAGTAACGACGGGACATTTACCTTCTGCATTTGACTGGCATATAAATAAATATTTAATGCATTAAATGATGATTTTTTTTGCATGAATTAGATTTCTCCATGAGAAATTTTCTGCGTTATATGATGATGTAAATTTCTGTAAATATATCACTCAGTTTAATTACCCTGTTTGTTTTATAAATTATTGTCATAGAGTGTGTTTTCTTATTTAGTTATTTATACTATATTCATTGCATAATTATTTTATGGTTAACTGAATTTTTGACACAATGTTTTATATATAAGGGTTTATTTCTAGAATAGAATTGTAGAACTTTCAATCCTAAGCGCAACAAAATTTAAAGTCTAAAAATAGCTCTAATAGAACGCGAGATATAAGCAAATATGCTTCTGACGGGCCTTGATGACAGTTTGTAGGGTTCTGCACTGTCTAGAAACTTA